AGGAGATGGCTTCTCTATTAATCTAATATAAAAAATTTAATATTTATAATTTTATAAAACTTACCGATTCATATAGGGCAGGAAATCAAGCATTTTATCACAAAAAGAATATTTATAATTATATAATAATAATAAATTTTAACGGAAAATATTTAAAATTATTTATTTATTTGTTTATTATTTTTTTATGCACATTAATTATTATTTTTTTCAGTAATATGCCAAAATATTTTTTAAAAAAATTATTTTTTTAAAAATTACAATTTTGTATAAATTTTCAATTTTTATAAAATAAAAAAATAACAGGCACATAACAATTTTCGATGGAGGGGAGGGATGATTTTTTATAGAAATTATTTTTTTTGGAGATTAAAAATTTATTATAATTAAGATTATCTGAGCTCGGTATTTGGTCAAAACATATTTATTAAGATTAAGAATTTTCCATGGATAACGCCAGCAATGCAGTATTTAGTCATTGGGCCGGTTTCATATCGATTATGTCAAATCACGATATTTTTAAAATATTTTTGGGATAATGATTTACACGTATATATAGATAAACAAACCAAAAATGATCATTTTCCAAATAATATTAATACCAAATTTGGTCGATCGAATATTTAGTAAGTGGTCGGTTTTGAGCTCGCCATTCGGTCAAATCTAAATATTTACAAAAAATTATTTAGGATAATGCTTAACACCTTATTGTTCACTTATAACCCAAAAATGAAGAATTTTCCATGGAGAGCTCCAGCAACGCAGTATTTAGTCATTGGGCCGGTTTCAAATCGGTTATCTGTCAAATCACGATATTTTTAAAATATTTTTTGGGATAATGATTTACACGTATATATAGATAAATAAACAAAAATGATCATTTTCCAAATAATATTAATACCAAATTTGGTCGATCGAATATATAGTAAGTGGTCGCATTTGAGCTCGCCATTCGGTAAAATCTTAATATTTTCAAAAAATTATTTAGGATAATACTTAACACCTTATTGTTCACTTATAAACCAAAAATGAAGAATTTTCTTTTTTACAAACTTTCTACTATTTTTCGATTCTAAACTTACTCATTAATTAAATGTCAAAGAAACCTCTATTTTTTAAAAAAAATTTAGGTTTTTAACATGTATTTATAGCCAAGTACAAAAAAAGCGCTATCCAATATTTATTCTGGTTTCCTAAGAATATATTTTCATATTTATGCATTTATCGCCCTCTTATGGATATATATCTATTAAATTTTGTAATTAAAATTTAAGTTGTAATAAGTTAGTAAATACATTTTTTTTCCCAATAATATTAAGTAAAAATAGAATTTAAAATTATTTGATATTTAATATTAATTTTTTATTTAATTAAAAATTGATTTATGTAAAATAAAAAAAATGTTTTTAAAAATAATTTTTTAAAAAAATTATATTAAACACTTTCTAACTATAACATAAGGACCAGAATGATATGATGAAACAATTAAGATTTTATATATTGTCGCATGAAACTACCAATGTCTTAATATCATTGGAAACTTCATTTTTATCAAATTAAGTGCAGCACAAAACATGCTGGTTTTAAAGCTAAGTAAAATATTATATTTAATAATAAAAGTATATTATACCTATCCTTTTTAAGTTGCACTGTTTGAAGCCTATTACTTTCAAAATCAAACAGTAGGTTTCTCTTTCATTAAATGCCTTTATATATTTAAAAATTCAGTGTCATTGTCTAATAATATTAAAAATGATACAGGACAATAATTTAAATTATACTTCTTAAAATTAATCAGGATTTTGACAATTAAATTTAGTTTATTGCTAACCCTATTCGACGTGGTCTGCAATTGTATAAGTAAGTTTGTTATAATCAATATTTTATCCAAAACGCAAAGTGATAAAATAAAATTTTTCTATTCCAAAAGCTATAGTAGTAGCCATGATGGAATTTTTAGAACCCTTTAAAATTATCAAAGCTGCCTTCTAGGCATCCTGAAGTATAGAAAAATTAAAAAAAAAATATATATATATAATTATTATAAGCTTCTATAAAAAAGATTATGAAATAAACATTTTAAATCTAATCAATAAAATTATATTACCGAGTGAGTGATATTCTTGATTCGTAAAAATTGTTGCAATTTTCTCACTACATCACTCTGATATGCTTAAGCACTGCCTATCTATTAACACACTATTGAAATACACGTAAATCTTATCTAAGATCCCTAAAATATTTCTTAGTTCTTTTATCGATTGGCATAATTGAACAATGTTTTAATTTAATCCATGACAATAGCATGAAATAAAATAAACATTTGGGGCTCAAATATAATCAAAGCCTGTACTTGATTAATCCTTCCACTCAGGTTTGATTAACAAAGCTATTACTTCTGAGTTCGAATCATCATATGTACCATCAATTATAATTTAAAAGTATCTATTATATTCAATTTCCTTTTGAATTTTTTTCATAAAAAAATTTTCCATGGTAGATAAAAGATTGGAATATAGTTTAGATTTTAATATATTTTGTTCCTCTTTTTTCATTCATTTTTTTTCATATATAATTTGAGAACATCATGTAAACAATAAAAATTAAAATAATTTAAAAAGTACTTCCATCATCATAGAGGTATAATATTTATTTTTAAAAAAATATCCAAACCCCTTTTAAATTTTAAGAAGCAGTCAAATTTTTTAGAAAAATTAATCCATAAGAGGATTAAATTAATGGGTAATTAATTCAAATAGCTATTTGATTTGAATTAAATTTTAAATTAGTTTGGCATGCTTTGGCAAACAAACAATTAATTCGTATATTTTATACAAGCTAAAACAAGTATAAGATTTGATTTTGTAAGTATTTTTATTACATGTTTTTTATGGTATGCGGAAAAATAATTCCCGGAAAAAAAACCAGAAAAAAAATCCCCGAAATTAATTCACCTGAAAAAAATTCCTTACGAAAAAAATTTTTCCAAAAAATTCTCTTGGAAAATAATTCTCTGGAAAAAAAATCCCATGAAAAAACATCCCCTGGAAGATAATTCCCCAAAAAAAATTTCCTCGGAAATAAATCCCCCATTTTTTAAATTTTAAATTAAATTTAGCGGAAAATAAATCCCCGGAAAAGAACAGAAAAAAAATTCCCCGAATATTTTTTAAATTATCAAAAATAACCCCACCGCTAAGATAACGAAAATATATCAAAAAAAATATATTCTGTATTTTCTGTACGTTGATTTATTCTCGACGTTGGAGATTTTTTTTGAGAATTTCTTTTTAAATTTTAATCGATTAAATAGGGCAATCTTTAAATATGAGAATTGATAAATCGGCTGGTAGCTTTTATATTTTATAATTTAGTAAATAGCGTAAAAAGTATAGACTTGTGATATCTTGAAAAGAAAATATGATATTTTTATAGAAATAGATGAAAATTATGAAAGAGGTTCTACAATTTAAAATTGAAAAAAAAAATTTGAAAGCAAATTTTTTTCCTAGAAAAAGGGAGGTTATTTTTATAATCCACACATTGTCTAGATCTCAATAGATAATATAAAAACATATCATTTTACCACATTGTATGTTCCTTACGTTAATATCAATCTGAATCCTGGACAAAAATAACAAAATAGGAATTTTTTATTTTAATACTATTTTAAAAATTGTATGTGATTATAAATTATAAAAAAGTATTGATGCAAATCATTGATTACATGGGCTTATTTTAAAAATGGTTGAAGACCTTAATCCAAAGACTATCTTTCAAATAATTAATCACTACCAAAAACAATTGGTATTAAAATTTTTAATATATTTCTAATACCTTTATGAAAATGTATAATAATTTATGTAAAAATAAATATTTAAATATTTTTTTTAAATAAAAATTTGATTTTCAATAAATATCTAAAAGTTGATGAAAATGTGCAAAGGTGAACTATATTTATTTAACTTTCGTTTTATTATTTAAAACCTCAAATCTTCGAGGGAATTTGAATTTAAAAAACATTTTGATTTAATTAAAGCAGTGCAGATCCAGGTCAAAAAAGAATGAATTTATAAATGCGGGCCAAAATAAAAAATCTGGGCTAGACATTATCATTACTTAGCTTATAATAATATTTTGCTTAATATCACAGAGACTAGGTATGCAATTTGTTTATTATAAATATCGTTGTTTAATTTTCACCAAACATGGGTTCGGAATAAGGCCATAACAATATACATTATATTGGTTAGGGTTAATTAATAATAATTTAATAATTTGGTTAGGTTTAATATAAATCACTAGTTATTATTCATAATTTTCTTTAACAATTTTATTTGGGAAATTTTTATTTGGAAAAATTTTACAGGAATTTTTTTTTTATTTTGTTGATTTTCTCAAAAATTTTAAAGAGGTTTTTTTTTCTTATTTTTTTAAGTTTCTAAAAATAATTTAATATTTTATAGGATCTAAAAAAACGGGAAATTATTTTCTGTGGTAACTCTTTTCCGGGGTATTATTTTCCAAGGGAATTGTTTTCTGGGGATTTTTTCCGGACGATTAATTTCCGGGGATTTTTCCTAGATTCATATAATTTATGGTAATTGATTGATTATCGTAAGTTTACCCTGTTTAAGATATAAAGATATTATTATTAAAGTTAAATTATTTTTTGATCTTTTCATTTTGTTAAAATAAAATTATATATTATAGTTATAAAACTTTTTATATTTTAAACATCACAAGATGTTATATATAAAAAAATGTTAATTATAGAAGCTTTTACCTATTTATTTATTACCTGCTTGTGCATATATCCTAAAAAATGCTTGTTGAAGAATCGAAATTAAAAGATAATTTTTGCGAAATTAAAATTATCTTTGCCATGAATTTTTCCATGTTTAAATTAATTTAACATAATCTATATACAATAATTTACCAAATTAGTTAAAATTTTATAATGAAATTGACATCTTAGTAATTACTTTTATATTCTGTCATATGCTATATAATATTATCTCTGAAAGTGAACATGAATGCCGACTTGTGCTCGAGGAAATAATTAATTATATAACTGATAATAAATTAAACAATGACTTATTTAATTATTCGAAAAGACGGCAATTCACTTCAGCAAATTCGGGATCGTCAGATATCCCTATTATTGCTGAGAGTGATACAGAGACACCAGAATACCAAAACAATATATATAAATATAGAAATCTAAGTAATTCCTCTAGCAGCTCAGAATACCTAGACAGTGATGAAGATAACTTGAATGAAATAAATTGTGTTAGGTAATTATAATGTTTTATCTATTTTCTGATGATATTTAAGGAAAATAAAACAATTGCCACAAAGTGATGATATTTTAGAAATAGGTTATGAACCAGTTTCAGAAGTTTGCTTTAATTTTATTTTAGATATTAAAACTGCACAATATAAGATATATATCATTTTATTTATGTGAATGTTAAATGAAAAATTAATTTGAAGATTCAGACATTGCTGATATTTTATCTCACTTGTCACCAATATTAATGTTTTTGGTGAGGAATCCCTTAAATTTATCACATTTTAGGGGGAAAATTAAAATTTTAGTTCTAATAAATTAACATTATAAATATAATGTTAAGATAATATAAGTAATATAAATAAAATATAATAAGTGGCTATCATATTTCAAATAAGCCATTACTATGGTTATTCATCAAAGTAATTGCATTGTTATTTATGGTTCCATATTGCAATGAAAATAAGTTGGTCCCACCGTTGACCTTTGTTATTACCTAGTTTAATTGTTTTTTTAAATAATACTAGAAAATTATAATTTAAATTAATTATAATGTCACTAGGCTGGCTAATATTTATTGTAGTCAAAATTTTGGTTTATATAGATTTTGCAATATATAAATAGGGTGTGACTAAAATATGCTATATATCCCTATTATAAAAGTACAAATTATTAATATAGAAATGTATTTAGCTTATCAAGTTTATTTAAAAAAAATGCTTTTTTTTTAATTTAAAAAAGGCTAATAAATTTATGAAATAAAAAAAAAACTTTTTTTGCATGACTAATACACATCACTATACACCCTCATTAATTATGCACTATTTTTAAAAATGAATGTAGAAGCATATTTAGCTCTTTAAAAGTACAGAAAATGTTAATATTATATTTAAAATTTTTTATAACTTAGTGGGCTTTTGAAAAAAACACTTTTTTTTTACTAAACTATGCATGCACCCTCAGTGAATATATATTATTTTTTTTAAAAAAGGAAAGCATAATCATATTAAGCTTAAAGGATTTAGATTTAGAAAATGATAATATTAAGTTTATAAATTTTTACAACTTAGTAGGCTTTTGAAGAAACACTTTTTTTCATATTTTTGACTAAAATATGTGCCCTCAGTAAATATAGAATATTTTTAAAAAATGAATGCAGAATTATGTTTAGCTTTTCAAGGAGATTCAGAAAATGATAGTATTCATTAAAAAAAATTTTTTTTTTTTCAATAATTAAAATTTTTTGACTAAAAAATACGCACCCTCGGTAAATACTAAATATACCTTATTTTTAAAAAATGAATGTAGAATCATGTTTAGCCTGGCCACCTTCTATTCTACAAGTAACTGAAGCCCCGTAACTTCAATTGGTGCCCTGGTTGGGGCTCAAACCTGTCGTAGTTTTATATATGAATTTATATTAATTTTTGCATAATCCCAATCAACCAAAATAAATAAGGTTGATTTGATTATAATTATCATAGAAGAACACGTGATATGGATATTTTTTTTTGTGTTCGAATAAAATTGTAGATTATTACTTTTTTCTTTCATATAAAAAAATGTTTTTATAGTGTTCGAATAAAATTGTAGATTATTATGACTTTTTTATTTCTTATAAAAAATTGATTATTAAAAAATCATATTAATAAAATATTATAATAAAAGTATCGTGTAGTTACAAAATAACTCTCTTGAAATTCTTAGAAGGGATTCTCGTTGAGTTAGTTGTCCTTAAATTGTAATTTGAGTGTAGGAAGGGATTTCAAATAAGAGTATATATTTTTCTTAGCTTTTTCAGTGGTGCTCGTGACACAGATCGAAAGAGTGGGCGTGATTTGGTTTTAAAGGTAAAACAAAATTTTTGTTTATATATATTATATGATAAATTTTGACCATGCATTAATACTATCCATTGTATTGTGATTTTTTTTTCTGGGTATGATATACATATATTTTTTTTATATAAGCATTTTTATTTAATTTGAATTAATTGGGCTGTGATCTTAATTGAAAGTTTATGAGCAAATGGGTTATTTTTTTAGGCATAGTGGGGAGCATAGTTTTAGTGATAAGGTTTTCTTTTATAAAGATTTGGGTTATAATGTATAAGAACTTTAATGAGTTGGATTTAGGTAGGCAGTTGATTACTGTTGGGATATTGGTAATTATGTATTTATTGATTATTATATTGAAATTTTTGGTGAAAAGGCGTACTGCGGTACTGGCAGAAATGTATTGTAATTCTAGGAAGGACACTCCGGTGTTGGCTGTTGATGTAAAAAAGTAGCAGACTTGGAAAGTAGTCTAAAAGGTGTTTTAGATGAAATCAAGGCTGGGAAGGATTTGGAGAGGTCAGGGAAGATTTTCCAGGAGGTAAAAGAAATGAAAGAAGTCATCAATGCATTGATGAGGTTGAACAGAAATTCTGTGAAGTGCCATACATGTGAACAAAATAGTAATAATGGTAGAAATAGTTACAAGGAAAATAATGGAGTGTCAGTAAATAAAAAATTTGAGGAGATTACCATTTGTCATCATTGCGAGTGGAGGGGACACAAAAGGGATACTTGCCTGGTCCCAGAGTAAAGGTTTAAAGATGAATTTCCGTTAAAGAAATCCGAAGTAGGAAATGCCAATGTAAAGATGGTCAGTATAAACGGGGCTAGATTATGTTTTAGGTTTAAAAGGCCCGGACATGTGGCCGTGGACTGCATGGAAATATCTCAAAATTTGCATTGACTATATGATTGCAAAGTTAATCATATAGGAGTCGGGGCTCCGAGAGATCTGAAAAATTTTTAGAACAAAACATCTGATATTGTTAGTCGTGATAATGGGAGGGAGAAAATAAAAATAAGTAATCATTCTCGTAATTTCCCTGAGAGGGAGGTTAATCGGTTTAAGTGGGAACAATATCCGAGGGATATTGTCCTTGTCCGTTATTCCCTAAGAAGGGATGTCAGGAATTTTAGTTGAGAAAAATGTCCCATAAATCTGGTTAAAAGAAATGTAATTGTCAGTAGAAAGCCTTTAAATTCCGAGTTGAATTTAGGGGACAATGTGAATTCTAATGTAATTGTTATTTCCGACAGAAACACGGGCTCTCCGATTGAAACATATGACATTTTAATGAAAGAGAGTAAATGGATCATGTCCGTGTCCGAGGGTTAATTTGAAGATTGACTATAAAAATAGAGATGCTGTTTGACACCGGGGCTAGTATTTCTTTAATGTCTCAGGAGAATTTTTATAAGTATTGGCCTTGGGGTAAACTGGTAAAAGAGGCTATGTGCGTCAGGCAATTTGATGGGTCGAAAGTTGCCGTGTTGGGAAAGGCCAAATTGGGGGTTAGATGTAATCTTGATTTATGGGTGGTGAAGGAAAGTGTGGAAACCATCATGGGGTGGAGTTGGATTGTTCAGTTGGGTCCCTTTAATAATTTTTGGAATATTTTTGCAAAACCGGGGGCTACAAATGAGACTAAGAAGATGAGGCTGGCTAATAAAGTTCGAGATAAAATTTGGGAAATAGAAGGGACGGACTCAACTGTAGAATTCAACCTGTAATTTTGAGATGTATATACTTTCCACTGAATTAATAGTTGAGGACAACAGTAAAACCCAGGGAGTAACCGGGGTGAAAGGGTAATTATGTAACATATATGTAATTTGGAGAAATTAATGGGAAAGATACTCTTAATATGCACCAAAAGTGTTCCGTGATTATGAGGAGTTGCGGGGTAAATGTTATTTAAAAATAAAGAGTAAACTGAAATTAAAATGTACGTGAACTGTTGGTATCCTTTTTGTTTTGGTTTATTTATTATTACACGATGGTAGTGAGATATATTGATTAAATGCAAGTTTATTGGTTTTAAGTCTTTCATTTTGTAATGGCAAAAGTTGGTATTCATTGAGTTTACCAGTTGTTAGTCATAAATAAAAGTTGAAATGTAATGTAAGATTAAAATGGAAAGTTGTGGTACATAATATTGTTAATGGTTATAAGGGAATCATGTATTGAGTTAAAGAAACCGTTTTGATATTTTTTATTACATATTTATGGTTGTTTTTCATCTTTGGCAGGCCGCAAGAAGAAAGTGAAAAGGGAGAAATATTTTTGTTATAATGTGAGATAAGAGAGTGCACGTGTTTTTTTTTTATAATTTATATATTTGTAATGTTTGTTTCGTAATAAATAAGAATGTATATGGAAGAGTTCGTGTACAATGAACTCCTATCTGTGGACATTTAAAGAGAAAAGATTTTAATCGTTATTTAGGTGATAAGGTTTGTTTTTATTTTGGGATTTTTCGCTTTTTATTATATCCATGGGGGGGGATGCTTTGATTTGGGCAAGCCGCAAAAAGAGAAGAAAAATGAAAGATATATTGTGATAGTGTGGGATGGTACTGTACATGGATTGTATGTTTTATTTTTTTTTACAAGACCACGCTTAAAGCTAAACATGATTCTGCATTCGTTTTTTAGAAATAATGTATATTTACCGAGGGCGCGTATTCTAGTCAAAAAATTTTTTTTTCGATAATTAGAACTTTTTAAAAAAAATGAATACTACCATTTTCTAAATTTCCTTAAAAAGCTAAACATGATTCTGTATTCATTTTTTAATAATAATGTATATTTACCGAGAAAAAAAAAATAAAAAAGTGTTTTTTTAAAAGCCCACTTTATAAAAAATTTATAAACTAAAATTAACATTTTCTAAATCCTTTTAATTAGCTTAATATGATTATGCTTTCATTTTTATTAAAAATAATTATTCACCGAGGACGCGTAGGGGCGCGTTGTTTAGTCAAAAAAATGTGTTTTTTCAAAAGCCCACTAAGTTATAAATAATTTTAAAATATAATATTAACATTTTTTGAGCTCCGTGAAGTTGGCCGAACATTTGGAAGCACTAACGATGAATCATATGTCATTTTTTAGTGCTTCGTTAGTGCTTATTAGTGCTTTAATCCGTATAGTAGCCGAATTTAAGGAAAAAAAGTTAAAAGCAAAAATAAAAATTTGTACCAACTTCACTCTTAAAAGTTGACTGAAAGCACTAACGATGAAACTTATATCATTCTTTAGTGCTTAGTT